ACTCCCTCTGCTAGGAAATTCAGTTTCTATGAATATTGTGTCCCTTGACTTTATCTCAGTCACTGAGCCATCATCATTTTCACCAATGAAGACATATCCCTTAGAGTTCTCAGAGTATCTTATGAAGATACACTTTTTGCCCCTTAGCTCTAGCTTGTCATACTTATGGGAAGAATCACGAATATAGGCTGCTGACCCCTATGGCCTTAGGATGCTTAGATCCAGTTTGCGATTTATCCATGATTCGTAAGGGTTCGTGGTGACTGATTTAGAAGGCACTCGGTTAAATATGAATGTGGTAGTTAGAAGAGTATCTCCCTAATAGGAGGTTGGAAGCTCAGCTTGTGCCATCATTGATCTAACCATGTTAGGGAGAGTTTTGTTTCTCCTTTCAGCAACTCCGTTTTGTTGAAGAGTGTTGGGGATTGTTAGTTGCCTAACAATACCCCTTTCTTCACAAAACTCCTTGAATTGAGCAGAGAGGTATTCTCGACCTTGGTTAGTTCTTAAGGCTTTGATTCTTAAACCTAGCTGATCTTTTACTAGATTGAGATATTTTCTAAAGCACACTCTAATGCCTCAGATTTGTGGGAAATCAGGTAAGTATAGCCACATCGAGAAGAATCATCGATAGAGGTAATAAAATACCATGCTCTGTGACGTGCCCTTACACTCATTGGTCCACAAATATCAGAGTATATCAGTTCAAGAGGGTGGTTAGGCCTGGTTGCCTTTCCAAAAGGTTTCCTTGTGCTCTTGCCAGCCAAGCAATGTTCACATAGAGACATTTCTTTTTTGGACATGTTTCCTAGCAAACCCTTTTTTGCCAGTTTGGTCATGCGTTCTTGACCAATATGTCCTAATCTAGCGTGCCATATATTGTAATTGACATCGGAAGAAAGCGCATAGCAAGAACTAGAATTAAAATTGTCGTTGAAATTCTCCAAAACAAAGAAACCATTTGAAACATAACTAGAAGCTGAAAAATTGGTCCCATGTGAAATGCCTACTATGAAATCATGGAAAAAGACATTGAAATGAAATCTAACTAAGGAAATAACAGACATAAGATTTCGTCAGATTTCCAGAGCGTAGAGGATATTTCGCAGGATTAGGGTTTTTCCTCCATGCAGGGTCAACTTACAAGTACCGATCCCTTTGACTTCTACTCTTGTGTTGCTCCTAACATAAAGCCATATGCTTCTTACTGGTAACTGACAAAATTTTGTGAAGTTGCCATGATCCTTGCTCACGTGATCTGTGGCCCCTGAGTGTATAAGCCAAACAGGATTCGTTTTAGCAATAAACGCATTGCTAGAAACATAAGAGAAATATATCAAATCTAAATCCAATACCTTTTTCTGCTCAGGGCAGTCCTTGGCATAATGCCCCTTCTGTTGGCAAGCATAGTATTTGATGGTTGCTATGTTCCACTTCTTTGGAGATTTCTTGCTTTTCTTGAAGGAATTCTTTCCCTTCTTCACTTTAGGGCCATCTTTCTTATTTTGATAGCCTTTGCTTCTCTTATACTGGTTCTAGGAGGTTGACCCTCCCTTTCCTTCAGTTAAATATGCTTGAGTGATAGGTTTCACAGTTTCTATTCGGTTATCCTCCAGTTAGAGGTGGTAAGCTACATCAGTAAAGGTTTTTATACTCTCGTTATGAATAATAGTATGCTTCATGGTATCCCCGCTGGCTGGGAGAGATCTCATGACAGCTTGAATTTGTTGCTCATCAGATAAGGTGCCTCCGGCTTCCTTAAGCTCCCTGATTAAGTTCTGCATTACCCTTAGGTGATGCCTTGTGGGAGTGTTAGGACCCAGCTTGAAATTGCCAAGTTTGACAGTGAGTCTCCTAAGCCTTACAGTAAAGGTACCGTCAAATTTAGATTTTAGTGTTGCCCACATGGCAGAGGCGGAAGGGTGTGTTTCAAATTACATCAACACATTGTCAGTTAGAGCACTTAGCATAGTAATTCTGGTGATGGTGTCCCTTCTTTTCTAGGCCACGTAGCCGTCCTGGTCCCTTTGTGATGCATTCACCTCAGGCTCTGGAAGAAAAGTTGTCAAGACATCAGTGACTTCTTGTTCTTTGAGGACATATGATATCTTACGATGCCATATGTTGTAATTGTCTCCGTTTAGCTTGTCACCTCCTACGAGGTTAGCTATGATGGACTTGATTCCTCTTTGAGACATCATGCTATCATATAGACAACAATGCATTTTAGTATGGTATGCAACATACATGTTATTCAAGTAGGTCATAGATCGTTCGAGTGAGAGTCTTGCCATTTTCATGATCAGGAGACAACTAGGTTGGCTCCCATCCCATTACTCTTGGTTAGCCTCTCACCTTTCTTATCTCTGACTTTTCTTGAACATATCCCCAATTTGAGTTTTCCTCATGAAACTCCCACTCAAATAAAGAATTTATAATAATAAATTTTTTTATTAACGAAGCATAAATGTTTACAAAAATTTGGATAACCTAATAAGGGGAAAAGTAAAAATAAACAATTATTTACTATTTTTCATACCCAAAAAGTCATCAGAAATAAGCACATAATATATTAATTTGTAGCTTATGATTTTAGGAATATTTTAGGCCAGACAAGGTCCAAAAATAAGCCTCCACACACCCTCACGTGCCACAAAAAGCCTTCTCAAAAAAAAATTTAAAATATTTTAAAGGAGGAGAGGGTTGCCCACTCTTAGGCTCAGCACGTGTCATCCACGCACTGCTTTGCCGGCGGTCTTCTGTCACTGGACTGACTCCATTTAATTCCTCACATTTTAAGGAGTCTAAATATGTGCTTGTTGTGACCCGAGGGGTCCTAGGTGCACCTGTGGCCGCGTTTTTGAGAATTTTTTTTTTTCAAAAAATATTTATTTATTTTTTTTGAAAACCCTTTTCTTTTTGTTAGGTCGGTGGACTCCACAGAGGTTCCGAGTCAAATAGACCCGAAACAAGTGAAACACTACGTCTTGGCTAGCCCAAAACGACACCATTTTGGGCTGGTCAGGTTGTCCCTAACCTCCAGCCAGGTCAACCCAGACCTGGCTAGAGCTTCGGCAGGTATGTCATGACCTGCTAACTTCGAACCCCCATATCTTCCACCTTCAAGCTCCGTTTTACGCGTTTTAGGTGTCTATAAAATCATTTTTTTGAGTTCTACAATCTTATGGGTTCATTTTCTTTAAAAAAAACCTCGTTTTTAAAGACCCAAAATCTGGTTATACATGGCCAACAACAGAGCTTATGAAAAAATGGATTTTGATCATGTTTTTGGAGCTTACAGTATTACAAATAGTATTTTAGTGCTTTAGTTATATAACTTGAGTGCATTTTCGAACTCAATACTCAAGCATATCAAATTTTTAAAAAAATGACTTACGAGTATACTAATAGCACAGCGGAAAAACTCGAACAAAAAGAAACACAGAGCCCAAGCAATATATGCACACACATATATTCATAAAGCTTCAAGATCAGGAGGACTCTAATGCCAATGTCAAAATAAAAGGAAAATTTGACAAGGAAACGTATCGAGTCGGATCTCAGGTCAGGTCAGTCGGATCTTCTGGGCTGACGCTATAAACTAGACTATAAAAGTCTAAGCTTTGAGTGCACAGCAGAACACCTCTTTGCAAGAAAAAATAAGAGAGAGAGAGAGAGAGATAGTAGGAAAGCGTAGCTACTGGAGTGAGTTGGACTGATGGGTAGAAGTCTTTATTTATAGCTTTTGTCAGGGGTATTTTAGGAAGCCAAAATATCTAATGAGCCCATCAAGTTAAATCTCAGTTAGGATATATAAATATATCTTTATCTCATAATATGATGATATTTGAATTCAAATCCAAAATCAATCTTAATTAATTCTAAATATATATAGTCAATATACATTCAATCTATACAATATAAATTAATTAATTTATATTGTAACTGATTGGATTTATTCAAGATATTTGACTGAGTTAAACAAATCATAATATCGCTTGTATATTTGATCGGTATATTCTATTAAATTCTACTTGATTTTTTTTCATGTGACATTCTACTTGATTGTTTCCATTACTGGTAAGTGCCAAGTTCTAAGAATATAGATTCTAAAGTTTTTGTGATCGTAAATTCTAATGAAGTTGAAAAGAGAAAAAAAAAATATTGAGTTGACTGAAACGAAAAGATGTAAATTCTATGTATTGTCTACATAACTCGTTGATAAGTTTATGAATACTTGATCCTTACACATACTCTATAATTAAAACATAGTTGCTATCTAGTAAGTCCAAAACATTTGTAGACTATGTCAATTCTCTTCTACCATGAATTATGAGTTGTGTTAACTTTGAGTTGTCCACACTAAGTAGCTTTCTCCAATGTTAGGTGAGTGAAAGAACTGAACCCAAAATATCCCTTATTTTGGGTAATTGGTGGGGCATTCTGATGCATTATTAACCACTCACATCAACTGATAACATTTCACATGTTTTGAAGGTGGTTCTTCTGACTCTCTTTTAACAGTAGGTCAACTTAACTTATGGCTAACCATATTAATTTACGTTTTAATAGATTCAGACATATTTGTTGATTTTGAGAAGTCAGCTGAGTGCACAGATAATTTTTAGGGATCAAAATGGTAATTTCAGTTTTTCACTTCAATTATTAAATGGAGATTTCAAAATAGCATCAACGGTGATTAGATGTTAAACTATGGATTTAACTCTGAATAATAGTTGACCCACAATAGATTTTATTTTATGTTATTTTATTTCTGATGAACTAATATGGTGATGGCCAGATTAGTTTGCATTATATGCGATGTTGTAACTTGTTTTGGCAGGTATAGCTATAAATATCAGTATGTTGAAGAAATAATTGCCATGGTAAGCAAGAACTTAGCTCCTAAGCATTTATATGTTGTTGATTAGCCAGTAGGTCTGAAGTCTTATGTTTCACAAGTAATTTCATTTTTTTATTTTAATGGTGGTTGTGTCAACATGATTGGAATTTATGGAATCGGTGGAATTGGTAAAACAACTTTAGCTCATGCTGTGTATAATTTTATTGTTGACCGGTTTGAAGGTTCTTGTTTTCTTGCTGATGTTAGAGAAAATTCAATCAAACATAGATTGGAACATCTGCAGGAGTCAATTCTTTTTAATATACTAGGCAAGAAGAATATCAAGCTTCGTGATTCCCACAAGGGAATTCCAATCCTTATAAAGAAGTTGTATTGCAAGAAGGTTCTTTTGATACTTGATGATGTGGACAAATTAGAACAATTGAAGAAATTACCAGGAGACTATGATTTGTTTATTTCAGGAAGTGCAATTATCATAACTACTAGGGACAGACATATTTTGACTGCTCATGGAGTTGAAAAAATATATGAGGTGCCAAAATTTAGTCATAATGAAGCTCTTGAACTCTTACAAGAGCATGCATCTAAAAAAGGGAAAACATATCAATGTTATGTGGAAGTCTGGAAATGTGCAACTTTTTATGCTGATGACCTTCCATTAGCTTTGAATGTTATTGGTTCTTATTTATTAGGTAAGTCAGCTGCTGAATGGGAGGTTGCAGTGGATAGATATGAAAAGGTTCCTAATGAAGATATCATGAATATCCTTAGAGTGAGCTTTAATAGTCTAAACCCAAGTAAGAGCAAGTTTTCCTTGACATTTCATGTATCTTCATCGGAGAGGAGTTGGCATATGTAGAAGTTCTATATGCTTGCGGTTTCTTTCCAAAATATAGCATTGGAGTTCTTATCGATAAATCTCTTGTTTCTATTAGTGTGAATAAAAGGGTAATGATGCATGATCTTATTAAATCCATGGGCAGAGAGATAGTACGATAGGAATCACCATTTTATCTTGGCAAAGGAAGCAGGCTATGGTTACATGAGGATGTTCTTCAAGTTCCCTAACAAAATATGGTGAGTTGTGTGTGACTTTTCTCTCTTTTTTTTTTTTTTTCTCTTGCTTCATTTGAGTGGACCCCATGCATTGATGAACTGCACTTGTGAATAGTGAAGCTCACTTTATTGCATACATTCATATATATATATATATATATTCAAATCGAATATCTTAGAGCTTGTTTGCTTAGCAACATAGAACATGATTTCTTCTTCATCCTCTCTAGGCCATATCTGTTCTATCTTTTGTATTCATTACTTGATGACATTTATTTTATATAAACACACACACACACACACACTCTTTTTTAAACTAAGATCATAATGGTCGCTTTCCATTCTAAAGTTAGTTTTTCCTTCCCATTCCTTTCCATTTTTCCATATTAAACTAGTGAATGCGGTTGCCAACATTTGGAGCTGAAAAATTATATTATTTTATTTTATTAGCATAGTTGGTAAGAAATTTGCTCCATGGTTTATAGTGTGTTAATTTTTTTCTCAGATTCTGAATCTAACATTGTAGTCCATATCTTTTTTTCCCCTTAAATTCTTTCTTGGAAGGGAACTGATAAAATTGAAGTCATAATGTTGGACTACATAGCCCAAGGAAAGGAATTGCATTGGAGTAGAAAGGCCTTCAAGAAGATGAAGAGCTTGAGAATGCTTATTATTAGGAACGCCTATTTCTCTAGAGGACCCGGTTTTCTCCCAAATAGCTTGAGAATTATTGAGTGGGTAGGATATCCTTCAGGGTCTTTTCCCTCTACTTTGCATCCAACAAATCTTGCCATCCTGAAGTTACCTAGCAATTGCCTCATTTTGGACAAGTCATTTAAGGTATGTTCAATTGCTATGTCTACGTGTTTCTTTGGCTTAAATATAAATTACACATAGGCTTCCTAAGACTAATTTCTATTGTTTTCTCTCTTTTTCCCCCTTTCTTTCCAGAATTTGAAGTGTTTGACCAGTATGGATTTCACTAATTCTAAAGTCTTAGTAGAATTACCTAATGTGTCTAGACTTCAAAATATAAGGACATTATATCTTGATAATTGCACTAATCTAATTAAACTTCATGAATCTGTTGGATTTCTCAGTCATCTTGAAGAGCTGAGTGTTGTAGGATGCACACAAATCTAAAATCAATTCCAGTTGGTTTCAATTTGCCTTTTCTTAAATTCCTTTCTCTCTTTAACTGTCAGAAACCTGTGAGGTTCACTGAAATATTAGGACTTATGGAAAAGTTACAGTATATTAATTTGGAGCGAACTTCCATAGAAGGATTACCATTTTCTATTGGAAATCTGACTGGGCTTGAATCTCTGAATCTGATGGAGTGCTATAGCATCATTAAAGTCCCCAGTAGCATTTTCACTCTGCCAAAACTTAGGGAAATTATAGCCAACTCTTGTAAAGGCTTAGCACTTTTTAACCAGTCAGATCATGAGAAATTGAAATTGTCTCTAAGTAGGATCCGACTACATTTGAGTTCTTGCAATATGCCAGATGAAAATCTTGGTACATGCCTAAGTGTTTTTTTAAATGTTGTACATCTGGACCTATCTTATAGTGATCTTATATTCCTCCCAGCGTGCATCCAAGAATTATCCACTTGAAGGTTCTTTGGTTACGAAACTGCGAGCAGCTTCGTGACATATACGAAATACTGCCAAATTTAGAAGAAATAGATGCATCAAATTACGTATCTTTGACTTTCCAATCCTCAAGTATATTATTAAGCCAGGTTTACCTCTTTGCATATTTATTGTGCAATGTGACTTGCAACAATTACCTCTTGCCTTTATATACTGAATTGTTTGCTGATATAAAGCAAATATGTTATTTTATATGTGATTTATGGGCCTTTCATGTAGCTGGAGACAAAAAATCAATGCTTCCAGGATCAAGAAGTCCAGAATGGTTTGATCATTACAGCTAGGAAAGATCAGTAAGTTTTTGGGGCGATGGTAGATTCCCAGGAATTGCTTTGTGCACTGTTTTTGGCACATTAGGAGGTCTACACCGACATATTCTGTTAGGTTCTGCATAGCAATCGATAGTCACAGACTGATACTCTCCAGAAATTGTTATAGTTGGTCAATTATTGAAGACCATGTGTGGCTGTCTGATCTAAGAGCATTTTTCCTAGATAGTGGTCTCAAAGGGCTATTTTCTAGAGCAGGAATGGAATCATGTGGAAATTTCTTGTGAGGATTGTGCAGTGAAGAATGGATCAATAGGGAAGGAAGCTGTGAAATTCCTTGCAATATATATGTACAAGGAAGAAAGTAGAATGGAGAATGTTTGATTCCCCAACTCTGCTCATGTACAAGACCAGGGTTATCGTCATACTTATGAAAGTGTTAGTGATGACACCTACCCCCTTGTATAGTCAGGAAATTTTGGAACATCTCATGATAGCTATTGCAAAGTGAATGGTGACAACTTCAGTAGTTATTCTTTGTGTAAAAAGCAGCGATTTGTATGAAGGAATGAACAAGAAGCATGTTCTGCTGGGAGGATCCGGTCTTGTTGATCATATGGTTGTGCTGTTGGTGTTATATGATTTGCTTTACTGGATGAGATTTTAATTTAGACGGTCTAGATTTTATTGTCTTCTTTCCTTATATTAGTTGTAAGATTTATACATAATTTTTCTTTTGTCTATAACGTTAAAAATAGGGAAAATTTAAAATAGAATATCCTAAAAATTGGTATAGATGAATTTTAAAATTCTAAATTCTTAAAATTCCAAATCACAATTGTACAATTTTATAATTTTTAAATTTTGTGAAATGACACAAATGCCTTTAATTTTTTTTTCCCAATATTGCCACCTCAACACCTTTAGTCATTTTTGGCTACCAGAGCTCCTGTTTGATGGCATCTCACCGGAACTCCAGTCGTCGGAGCTCCAGTGATTACTATTTCTTATGTATTACTATTTTTTCTTAACTATTGACAACTTTTGTTTTTAAAACTTTGATGATTACTCCTATTTAGCTATTGTCTATTCTAATATCACGATTGATTTTTTTCTTTTTTAAAAAATTGGTGATTACTCCTGTTTAGCTATTGATTACTTTAATTCAATTAACTATCTTCATTTCATAAATTCAAAAAATACTTTTGTTTAGTTATTTACTACCCTTATGTAGGTAATAACTATATAAAAATAGTCACCAAAACTTTGAAAATAAAAATGATTAATAGCTATACGAAAGTAGTCATTAAGAGTGAGGGCAATATTGTCATTTCTCAATATTTTAAAATTTTAAAATAGTATAAGAGGTTTGATTTAGGATTTTGAAATTTACCCATGCTAATTTATCCTTTAGCAATTTTGAGGGTATTTTATTATCTTTTTTCCCTTAAAATTACCCCTTTCCTTCCATTTCATTTGATGGGCAAAAATATACTTTTAGTTCTTTAGGTTTATATAGGATTTCAGTTTGGTATCTTAACTATAAAAAATATACTTTTAGTTCTTTGATCATAATATTATTAATAAAAAATGTTGATATTGATATTAAATGTTGATGAAACATTCTCAAGCGTTAACATATCAAGTTTAGTTTTTTAAAACAATCACTATTGTTACCAAAAAAAAAAAAAAGAGAAAAGAATTCATCATTTAAACTTAATAATTTTAAAGTTAAATAGCTAAAAATATAGATTTTAAAGTAAAGTGACCAAATTAAAATACTACCTCTAGTCCTAATTATAAGATCTTATTTGTAATATACAAATAAGGTTTTATAATTAGAACTAAAGGTAGTATTATATAAAGTTAAAAAATCAAATATATAATACTTTTATCTATAGGTATTTCAAAGAGAAATTTCTAATTTTTTTTTAAAGACACTATATGAGATATTTACTACATCTGTTTTCTCATATTACATTCATTTACTACAAAAAAAAAAAACCAACTTCATCGCTAATCAAAATTAGCGATGTGTTAACAACGAACTAGTGATATAATTTAGTTAGCATTGGAATTTTGTCTATCACTGATTCTACCATCACTAATTATTTAGCGATAGCGATGGATTATTAACGGATTAGTAATAGAAATTAATCCATTACTAATTAGAGATGAATTAGTGATGAAAATTCAGTCACAAAATAGTGATGGATTTTTAATGAAAATTCCATCACAAATTTTCTTTATCCTCTAAATTTAAAAAATGCAGTGTAGCAACCATTGACTACTATCACGGCATCGCCTCCTCCAATGTCACCACATCATCTTCTAGTTTTATTTATGAAGAAGTAGTAATTAGAACTCTGAACATCCTTCGTGTGAGTTAAAGCATTTGCTAGTTGAGCTAAAAAACACTTATATAATTTTTACACAAAATTATATATATATATATATATATAGACACACACACGCACACATATAATGTTTCTAATTAAAAACGCAAATATATATTTTATATGTAATTTAATATATTATTATATATATTTCTGTTTATGTTTCTTGTGACTAAGAATTAATTTTTTTCAAATATTTAATAAAATAATAGGTATATCATATATTTTATTCTTATTTGTATTTATGATATTGTAGTTTATTTATATATAATATATTTCTGAAAAATTATCATATATTATATTTTTATTTTAATAATAAATATTAAAATAATTTATATATTTATGTTATAATTTTTGGTGATGGATTAATGATGAAATAGTGATAAAAATTAGCGATAAGATAAAATCCTGTTTCTAATCTGTTGTTAATAAATTCTGTTACTAATTTTACTAACAGAATTTGTGACGGATTATCAACAA